TCGAACTTATTACATGCTGAAATTTCAATATATTTCAGTAGACCTCGAATTGATGAGTCTATAAAAATTATTCTTACATTTTTGGAATACGAATGAATTTCACTTATATAAATAATTAGCTTCCCGCCGGCGGCTTTGCCAGTGTAGTCCTGTATTATACATATAAACTTCCTCTTGTATCATTCTGTATATTATTGAACTTATTATTATATTTAAAATCCGCTGTGTAGTTTAAAATATCTGAGATTATAGACATCGGGAAGCGATTGTGTTTAATAATATATATTGAAAACTACTATACTTGTACTAATTTAAATTTGACTCCGTAACAAGAGACATCGTACTTTCTTTAAACGACGACTCAGAAAGTTTCACCAAAAAAGTTTGGAAACATAACAGAAACTGTAATAAAAACAATATATCTGCGAGTAATAATAGGAATTCCCTAAAGCATCGCCAGTAAAAGCCGAAGGTACTTAATATGTTTAACGTACAGTATTGATTAGGAATTTTTGGTGACGCAAAATACTTTTTTCTTTTTTGAGAAATAAACACTTTATCGAAACTCCCTCCACTTTTTATCCTGGCGTCCCTAGGCACTTGCCTAATTTCTTTTATTAATAATAATCCACTACTGCCAACATGAGTGGTTCTTAACTTTTTACTCATTAGGCACCATTTTTTTATGTTACGGATCCTGGACCACCATTTCTCAGATATATTCATCATTCTCAGGTATTTCATGGTTGGTCATGGACCACTATGACCAACTTGGTTTAATATGCTATACCTAAGTCTGGATTAATAAAATGTTATTTATTATACGTTTTATACATCTATAAATAAATAAAAAGAGCATAAAATTATTATTCCAAATAAAAAATATTTTTTGTTATTTTCGAAATACTAGTACGACTCCAAAGAAACGCATTTAGATGCACGGATAATCTTCACCTAAATGATTTTAATAAAATTTTAAGAGCAATTCGAATTATATAAATATTACGAATTTTCATTAATGACCAATAGAATAGGCCCTCAAGTGTCATGTTAATTCGAACGGGCTATAGCAACATTTTATGAGGCTCCGTGGACCACTTGGTCCACAGATTAACAACCACAGGCCTACATGAAAGATTCAAAATATCAGCATGTAGGTAAGGGTCGTTGTTGATTATATCTATTCCTTATACATGCATTTATATTATAGACAAATACAATACACGGATGTAACGTACGCAATATTTATCACGACATCTATATAGAAATAATATTTCTCAATTTCTTTTAATAAATATAAAAATTGTGCTAATATTTATCACTAAAAGAATAATACTAATCCGGGGTCACTGGTTGTCAATCTGCAAACACAAAATTATAAAACTATTTATAAATCGATTTTATCACTAATATGATTAATAAAATTGGAAATTTTAAGAATGTAATATATTAAAATTTTATGAGACATAATTAAAACGAAATGAAATGTATTGTATTATCTATACTAATATAATAGAGGTAGTTTCTATCTTTGTTTATTCGTAGGGGGCAAATTCGGAAATACTTATCCGATCTTAAAAGATGTTTTACCTGCAGAAAGCTACGAGTCACACGGAATCTATGTCTGATTATAACTTACGTGAATGAAGTCGCCAAGAAACAGATAATTATTTAAATAAAGAGGTTCTTATTGTGGATTATGTTGATGAGTCAAAACGATACTTACTCCATTTAGGGTTCTTGTGCGGGACAGTAAAGAGTTGGCTGTCTGTGAACACCTGTTACATATATAAAATATATCACGTTAATGCCAACGGTTACATTTGATATCACTGAGAAACCACAAAAATTATTTTAACATTTAGCTCTATCTATACTAATATTATAACGAGGTAAAATTTCTAACATTATTTTCGGAAATGCTGAGCCGGGGTAATCTGGCGGGGTGGGGGGGAGCACCCCTTTGGTTGGTATAGATAGGTTTTGTAATTAACTAAACACTTTAGTCATCTAATCATGAAGGTTGTTTAATTATTATGTATTTTTTTTTAGAATCTGCGTTGAGTTCATTTTCGCGGCAGAGGCCCTGGTTTAAGACTTTAGTCCAGGTATTACGAAATTACCACTTTGTAAACCAATTTTAAATCTCAGAATATACAGCACATGGTCGATTATTTGCAAAAAACAGAAACATAAATTTCAATAATTAGCTCAATATAAAAAAATCTCACAGATGATTCTAAATAGGTTTTTTGGATCGAATTTGCGATCTATTGATTTCATCTTATATTCATAAGATATAAATACGAAAATAGGTTGCCGCAGGAGTTGTTTCGTTAGACGGACTCACTATACATCGTATACTTGCCGGTGTATCTGTGCTCGTCGTGCATCCTCTCGTCGGGATCGGGGGGCGGGGGCCGCGCGGGGGGCTCCTCCCCGCCCAGGCACGTCTCCACCATCGCCTCCAGGCAATTCACGAACAGCTCGCTGCTCTCCGCCGTACACTGGTTCTGTTTATTAACCGACATTGATTTAACAACATATTATCTCATAATAGGGATGACCACTAAGAAAAAAAAAAAGTAGAAAAATATTAGATACATATTTTTTTGCTTCAATTTAAACAAGAAATGGCTTGGATATTAGGCATTAAAATTGAGGAGTAAGTCACAGTTTTATAGAAAATATAAAAAAGGGTGAGGTCTTGCGACATATCAAGTCAATGTATTGCAGTGATTTATTGAGTAGCTCGGTGGCGTAGTGGATAAGCGCCGCGGCCCGCGATCGTACTCGTTAAGCAACTTTCGCTAGGGTCGGTCACGGGATGGGTGACCAAAAAATTATTATCTCTAGCTGCTCCGTGCTTCGGAAGGCACGTTAAGCCGTTGGTCCCGGGTGCATTTGCAGTCGTTAATACCCTCCAATCCGCATTGGGCCAGCGTGGAGGGTCATGGCCCATCCTACTTAACCATCCATAAGGAAGGCCTGAGCCCCTGCAGTGGGGACGTAAAAGGGCTGGTGATGGATGGTGATGAATTGAGTACGCAAAAAAATACGAGTTTATTATTCTTCAATAATGTACATGGACGGACAATAAACAAAAATTAGTCATCGTCCCTATTCTGTATTATAACTATTATTATTTTTGCTTGTCTATTAATTTTGCATTTACAATGCTACACTGAAAAATAATCTCAATCTGATAGTAGTTTAATATTATTATATCAGAATTTTATAATACTTTTACTGAAACAGTCACGTAGTCAATTATATTTTCAGTGAGTTTATTATGAATAATAAAACGAAAATTAGAACCTTAGTAAAAGGACCGGCGAATCTCCACAGGCCACCAAAACCGCAGCTTTGCATGTAATGTAACTGCTGTTGGCTGGCGTCTTCAGACGCTATCATGTTCTGTGTAAATCAATAATATTAAGGGTTAATTATGATTTTTTTTAAGAACATTAAATCATAAAATATAAAAAAATTAATATTATGTTATTAAATTAAGATTCAAAGCTTTTTTTATTTATTTATCACGTTACATAAAACACGACTATTGGTGGAAGTTATTTCTGCATCCGTTGGATCAGTCAAGCATTTATTTATTTCGTAAAAGATGTCAACAGTATTATTTATACCTATGCGTCCATTTTGTTTACATACCAATATGACGACATGAACATGGCGGATAAAAATTTTAGTGGGTTTAAATTAGTTTGGTTTAAATTTAAATTTTATTCTAGAGGCAAAAAGACGTTATTATTATGCAAAAAAAAAAATGGTTTTTTTTAAATTAAAATATACAAATTCCAGTACTTTTTCAAACAAAATAGAATTGTTGGTATTAAGACCACCTAATATAAATTGGATAAGTACGTACTTAGATTCCTATTTTTCACAAATTCATTTATAACATAATATTGATTGATAAATTTAAAAATCTCACCTGTATAATGCTTTGTACAGCGCTTAATATAACTTGGTCGTTACAGTGCATCAAAACGTGGTTGATCTTCATATCCAGAAGACTATGTCTGTAGATTCAAATAATAATATTACATAGCCATCATCATCATCATTAGCCTTGTTACGTCCCCACTGCAGGGGCTTAGGCCTTAAGGAGGATGGGCCATGACCCTCCACCGCGCGGATTCAATGGGAATTAGAGGGTGTTACATATCCAATATCACATAATTCGCTCACTGAATAGTACAGTGGTACAACTCAAAAACCATTATTTCGAGAAAACGCCACAACATTGTGGTGGCATCCCATAGATAATTTAAAGAAAAAATAAAAAACTTAACAGTAATAATATAATACAAACGATTTAACTGTTATGCTAAAAAAATTGATTTTCATAATTATAAATATATGAAATTTTCATAACTTCGGAGAGCGTTTCTCGAAATTATGGTTTTTGAGTTGTGTCACTGTACTATTCAGTGAGCGAATTGTTCAGAACCCATTTAATAAATGAGGTAATATAATATAATACATAATAAATATTAGATAAACAACATATACACTGATCAAATTTCAAGATGAATAAGCTAAAGCCGTATTATAGAGTATCTAAGACAGTGAAGGTAACACGACACCCGGTGGCAAAATTGACTTTAAGATGGTCACCAATTCGTTTGTGGCGACCCATGCATAGCAGTTTTACCAAAGAGGCTGCGTCATGCATGTCTCACCAGAGCTTTATACACAGATTATAACAAGAACAAAATGTCGGTGTTTGGTTATGTAAACAAAAGGTTAATTTACTGTCTTATGTGATATTTACATAAACATTATAACGAGTGTATCGTCTTTTATTTTAATTAAGAAGAGTCAATAACCTCTTCACGTTTATTTTACATCTTATCAATATTGCAACAAGACTCACTTATTATAATCGTACCTTGGCTCATAGTCGGAATCGGTATATCTGTTCTGCGCTAACGTAGAATCACCAGGAGCCATATTAGTAGGAATAAACTACACGGACTTTAAAGTAATAAAGTATGTACTCACATCACTGGGAACACTTTGGGGAACACCACCGAACCCTCAGCTAGATACTGGTACAGTATTCTTATTTCATCTTCGTCTGGAAGAAATAAAGTGTATTTCGTGTACTGTTAATAAGGTCGGGTTATCTCGTACTGGGGAATCGATCAGTATGAGTATTCTTAAAAGAGTTGCCAAAAGCCGGGTAGCAGGTATATTGCGTAACTCGATTGGCTTCGATTTAATTGGTACCGGATTCAGTCAAGTGCACTCAAAGTTCAATACCATTCATAGGCTACGATTTAATTAGCATCAGATTGAACCAAACACACTCAAATATCAATAGAATTAAAGCGAGTAAGTGAGTTAGATATTGGGTTAATATCGACTTTTAAACGAATGATTCTTCACTTGAAGCTAAGTAAACTAAGTTAAGCGGTAGTGCAGCTATAGCATCCTGTTCTTTATATAATTACATATTATTATCTACAACAGCATAACTCACCTGTCGTGTATTTAACTAGTGTAGCGAGTACGGTCAGTACAAGAGCTTGAGTCGTGAAGTCAGACAGTACCGACGGGTCCAGGAGACTATTGCTCTCTGGACTGGTCGTGTCCTTGTCAGTTGACACTTGCTGTAAACAAATATATTCCTAATAGATTACAATATCTATTACCTATACAACTATAACAAGATAACAGATCGCTGACTCCAGGAATAATAGTTCAGGAATAATAATAATAATATTTTTTATTAAGGAATTCAGTATACAAATAATTAACTTAGTTACAATTGTTAGTAGCATGTGTGTACCAAGTTTAAAGGTTAACGTTGGCAGCTTCTTCAAAATAGAAGTTTAGATCTTTACACTTTTTTACAGTCACAATCAGTTTCGTATGTGTGAAGATGTTAGTCACTCTATTAGTAAGTATCATTATAAAGACATGGACTAACAAAGTATTGTTGACGTTTCTCAAGGCTGTTTTATGGTAAATTATGTTTGAAAACTACTAATTTCCTCCGTTTTGGAGGAGTGCAAGGTAGTCTTCGCAAAATACTATTAATAGAAGAGGCAAGCAGAGGAATTGCCTCGATCCGCTCTCAAAAATGTACGAACTGTTATAATTAAAAAAAAAACTTTTTTATTATATATCATAAATAATATCTGACGTACAGTTTACAGTGCACTAGGTTATAAAATCTCTCAACTTGATTTTAAACTCTACCCAGTTTAAAATCAAGTGGAGAAATTCGACAAATTGTGGTAACCTGACTTGCAGTCGTGTGTACTTTATTCGTATGTTGATTTATAGATAAACGACCGTAGTAATAAGTATATTATCCAATTCACAGCTTTAACGATTCTTCTTACCTTTGTGCTAGGCTCTGGATAGTCGCTGTCACCGGACTTAGTGGAGGAGGGTCGGTCGGTGACGTCATCCGCGCTAGCAGGAGACACTCGACCGTCATCTTCCACCACCTTAGTAATATAATGCTTGTACATGTAAAATACACTTGTATAAATTAATGATTAGGTTGAAACTTCAACGAAATTTTGTATATCTTTTATGGTCATTCAACTGGGAAAAGTACAACTGCACAACATATGTAGCTTTGTCATCATTTTTCATCTGTGTTTGCACTGTTTAGGGCCAAAGATATTAATACTACACATATATTTAGGAGACAGGCCTTCATGAGCTACTTTAGCCGTAAAAACGGGCTGCACGTAACAAATCAGTCTAACACAGCCCCTGTTTTATATAAAGAAAAGTATTTGTCTCAAATGTTTTGATTTGGAAATGTAATAAAAACAAATAAGGACCTCTGTTATCTAGTTGCAATATCGATAAAGCATTTCTAGTGGGAAAACGTTGAAACAATAAGACAGTTCATGCATTTTTAGCAAGTGTTGTTGCTACTAAAAGCTAAAGGGCGTTGCTGAGACACTGGATAAATAACGAATCATGTCCAGTTTTGACTGAAAAATTAACTAATGCATCTAGTGATGTGATATATCTTAACAGCTTATATTTTACTTATATCATAGTACATAATTAGGTGTAAAATAGTGGGGCTGTTTATTATTTTTAAAACGTTCCGTGAAAAATAGGTCAATGTGATTCGGACCGTACATTGACGGTTTGCTAGGTTTTGTTTCATATAATACAAAAAATATTCGTTCGTCAAAAGCTTAAAAACTGCAAATTATGAACTAAATTTAGTTTTACTTCCACAACCAAGAATAAAACTATGAAATGCTTTGATTTTAATGAATGAATTTTTAGATTATCTTCATAATTATCTCGAGATTTCAGCTGCTATAACCTTAAAACATAATTTAAAATTACACATTAACAAGCCAAGAAAATGGCTTCCAAATGAAAAGATGATTATTTATTATATTTTATGCAAAAACTAATTTAAATTAACACTATCGTAGGTATACACTATATTTGCAAAAGAAAATGTGTCAGGTTTATCGATGTATGGAAAGTGGGCATGATTGATTGTATGGGAATCCTCTTGAAGACCGCTCTATAAATTCTTTTTACTGAGGCCTGAATTAGTTTTAAAAAGACTTACATCTAAACCACTATCAACATCGCCCTGCTCCGATCTGGCAGCTTCACCAGCAGCTCCATGTTGCATACTATGAGCTCTTCCTTCACTATCCTGTGGTATTATACATATAAGTCACAATTTCGAATGAAAACGTATTCGAACATTTATAGGAGAGGGATACATCTAAAGTGAGAGCTTAGAAAGTATTATTTACAAAAACGTATAATATGCTATACATTGTCGAATGAAGTCTGATAATTATAATGTAGTACAGTAAAATGCAGTAACAACTATTGTAGCGCATCGATGTATCAGCGCAGAAGCAGGGCTTGGAAACCGGTTCGATGTAAGTACATGCGGAACTTTACATAAAAGGTTCAGCTCCTTTGAACAGGTTTTTAAACCAGTTCACTAGAAATACGTTTTTTTCATTAACCGGTTTAAATGTGACTCCAGACAATGATCTCACAAATTTCAGCGCGGTTTTTAAGAGCCTATACTCCTATCTATTACATCCGTACACGGATATGATAAATGTCGTCGCTTAAAAATGATATAATTCGCATTAAAATCGTAAGAAAATTGCTTTTTACGAACCAAGCGAATTAACCGGTTTTTATTCCATCCGAATTTCATTCTGCATTTAGTTCCGATCCGGAACGGATAACAGAACAGGTTTTACCTAAATAAAATAAAAATCCTGACCTGATCAAATGACTATTTTCAGACTAACTTAGATGAAAACCTAGTATGTTGTAATTAAACCTTATAGCTAGGGGCCGTTCATTAATCACGTGATGTTTTATTCAGCATTGTTTAACCCCCCTACCCCTTGGTGATAAATTGTAAGACTAACTTCCTCCCCCCACCACCCAAATAACGAGTATTTTTAGTACCTACAATTTCTTTTTTAATTTTAAATGCCGCCTTTCGTTTTAGTGATCGCGCATTTGATGAAAAATGTGATATTTCGTGACTATTAACAAACCTCCTTTACCCCTTTCAAGCCTCACGTGATTAATGGACGGCCCTATATTAAAACAAGGCTGCAAAAAACAGGTATATTTTTTTTTATTCTTCGTCTCCAATGATAGTAGGGAGAGAAAGGAAATAATTGAGTGATTAACAGTAATAAATACAACACGATATTTAAAAAATGCACTGATAAAAAAAAAAGACGTAAACTTGGTGGCGATACATATGTATACTTTCTAAGACCTCACCCAAAAACACAATATCAGAAAAGGGTCACGTGAAATATTTGGGGTATAAAACAACATATCGAAATAGAAGCATCTATTTATTCTTCCTCTTTTCTACGTAAGGAAGCTCTCTTTCGCACGCTTCGTCTCCTAGGAGTAAATCTAAAGCTAGAAGCGTTTATAAACAGTGTGATTTGCGATTGTGTGTATATTGACTTTGTTACAAGTGGATATAGTTCATTTAAAGGTGCGTGAAGTTTCTAAGGTTTATTTTTATGTATTTTTTAATTACAGTTATTTGCACAGGAATATCGTTCTATTATTTTAGTCAATTCTTGAAATCTGAATCTATTAATAAAAGCTATCAAGGTTTCAATTTGTTCATTATGTAATAGTCTTACTAATGAGTAGTATATAACCTTTATATAGTTATACTGGTTACAGTATACTGCTTGTTAGTAAGGCCTTAACGGTTAATATTTAATTAAATACATATTATTATTAAATGGTTACATCTGTAGTGAAAAAACAAATTGTATATGGAAAATATTTAACGTGTTAACTTTGATAAGTTAGACGTGAGATTTGAAGACATGTTAGATATATGTGCAAGCTTTATGTTTAGAATTGATAGAGTTTGTTTAAGATACCTTTTATATATGGTTGTACGTCATTGATGCTGAATATTCAGGACTGACTGACTGACGACATATTTTGATAATAATTGATTTTAAAACCAGTAAGTATAATAAGTGTTTTATCGAAAAGAATTATTGAGAATTCTTTTGTCAATCCAATATTCATTTTGTTTCTAGCCCAAGAAAATGTTTTAATTATATATAATTGTTTACGCAAATATTAGTATATCCCTAGAACAATTGGCAAATGAAGACATATCTACTACAAATTCACTACAAGATTTACGAGTTGGTATTGGGCATAATAGTTCGCAACTGAGATCGAATGAGTTAGTTCACGACGAAACTAACTAGTTCGTTCTTGTAGTTCCTAAGTTTGTTTAGATTCCTAGCTCCTTGCAGCAGAAGCAGAACGATCTGCCTTATATTGAATTATTTTAATAATAATAATTTCGCTCGTTTTGATACTGCTTCTTTCTGTTGTCACGTGATTATTGAACATTGTACATTTATATTTTTGGACACATAAATAACATAAAAAAACATATGAACTAATATTCATAAAATATAAATTTTTTAATGTAAATAACTAGGTTTATTGTTTTGGCAGCGAATAATATACTTTATATTTTTAACGGGACGACATTAGTTCGGTCGATTTCACGTTTATTGATTCTGACACGAACTAACGAACTACGGAACGGGAAATGTGGGAATTATAATTGGTAGAGTTCGGTCTAATGTCACTTCGATTTTGTAAAAGGACCTAACAGTGACAAAAGCGACAAAATATCACACAAATAAAACAGCCTCATGGACGTACAACCATAATATAATCTAACTAAACCATGCGGGTTTTATTTTGGATTGGGGTTCTAATAGATTCACTCTAAGGGTACATAACTTATAGATGAAATGTTATCTAGTATCTAATTCATTTAAAACTATAACCAAATCTTGGGATATACGGTATATCGTATATTTAACGGTATACCGTTAAATAACTTCAATAACGGTCATTAGATATTTTTAGATATTGTATTTAGATTACCTAAGCAATAGAACGGTTTGTTATTTGAATTAAATACCTACTAGTCTTCATAAACCTTGTAAAATTTTTAAGCTTTATAGTTTTGATTATATTTTGATGTAAAATATTTGAGCTGTTTTATGTATATCGGAAAAAATATCTAACGACTGCATAACTTGATACCGTTTTATTTTTACAAACGGTAATACGTTTTACCCTTGGTGGTCCAATAGTATCCTTGGAAGTCGGCACAGAAAACGACCTTTGGGTCTTGAATAGCATTCTCGCGGAAGCCTTCTCGTGTTAATATGCAAAGCGCAAACGGGCATATCGAACGACATATCGTTACGTAATACATGAACATTAAAACAAAGAGTGATTTATGTACGACATTTGATATTTAGAGTAATTTAAGCAAAATTTTAACAAGTATCATTTTTATTCAAATATACGAGTACCGTTATTTTTTATAAAAAGGGACGTTCAAAATATCAAATATCGTCGTGTAAAAAACAGCGGTGGATGAAAACGGTATACGAATGCATACAAACGATAGTTATCAACCAAATCCAAGTACAAAGTTGCGTGAAAGAACACAATGTGATATAGTAATGGTCAATCGTGTCCTAAATACTGGAAGACAGAAAATTTAAGTAATCTTATAACGTGGAATCTGGAAGATTATAATTTAAACTGTAAACTTAAATAGTATTTTTCATACGAGTAGTGTTTATGGTAGATGCCGTTTTAAATGCCTTGCCAATATTTAAAATAGTATCCTTTAAAACTTATACTCAAAACTCAAATTGAAATCAAACATCCAGACTAGACAAGGATAAAACTATCTGGAAACGATTGAAAGAGTGAGAGAGATGACAATGACGACAGCTTCTAATACAAGACTTTATATTTTATAAAAATTTCGAATGATTAACAACAATAAGTCTTCCATTTACCACAAAAGAAAGAAAGAACATTAACTAATTCGATACTACTGTAACAATGGCTTTAATGGTTCAGACATCATCATGAATGAGGCTTCGTTACCAGTACACAAGCTATCTGTCTCATTCTAACAAGCCATATCGGTGGTTTGCGTGGGAAAGGTATGTTCGAATTTATCTTCTATTGATATTCAAATAGAGTACATTATTAGAAGATCATGCATTTAAAACAGAATTATATGTCTGCAACTGTTTTATATTAATTAATATATCAGTTTTGATCTCAACGACATTTTGTTTAGATCGACAAAGAATACGACGTTTTGAACATTTTAAGTGTAATAAATTTAGAAAACTAAATTAAAGAAATAAATACATCAATAAGTAATATTAAGTTATAGTGCCCTAAAACAATACAATAGGCAGGCACCATCTATAAACAGTATCTAACGAATGAAACAGTATTGGATTTCTGTATGTCTAGATTTTATTGATTTATAAAGATTTTTTTGTCTCGTATCTATCTCTTTCCCACAGCAAACGTGTTACCATAGCGCTAACATCGACGTGATCAACGGTACGGTGGCTGTATTACCTGATGGGGCATAGTCACCAGATGGGGACTGTGACCGCCGCTGCTGGACTGCTGGAGAGTTGGGGATTTACCTGACGTACCAAATTTTTCTCTTCTTAATAATTTGTCATTATGTATTATTTGTAGCTTCACACAACGTCATCCAATATGAAAGATGATTATTTTTTAGTCTGTCCGTCAAGAAGAATATTGAAGTATATTAAACATGCATTTTTTATAATTTTTGGCGTAATCAATAAATTACGACAATACATGGAGTTAAAATGTCGCATGACTTCACACCTTTTTACATTATCTCAAATCTAATTTAAATCTCATTATATAAGCTATTTCAAGCAAAAAAATACGGATCTAATTTCAATTATTGATCAAGATGTCCGAATTCACTTGAAACCTATTTGTGTTAAGTGTCCTATGTATGTGTGCGAAATAAATGAATTAGATTTAAATGGATCAATCTTGTTTTGTATTTTTAAACATAAAATGGAACAATAGAATTTTTACAATAAACGTTAGTTAAACGGATTCGCTTTCCAAGTGAATTCGAACACCCGAGTGCTCATAACCATTTTTGTTACATGAATAAATATTACAAATGATTGTATATAAGTAAAATGCCGAAGGCGATTATTTTACGTTTTAATCGTAGTCACTTGGCTAATCAATTTACACACAGGCCTATCGCCAAACTTGTTTAACTTCGTTTTACTTGACATTGGATTCAATCAAAATGCACTTAACGATCAAATTTGTACAAATTTCATTAATAAATTACTTTTTGAAGGAACAAACGATCGTATAAATTACATGAGAAGACCGATAGCATTAAGAATGAATATTTTGATAAGATAAGATTTGAGAAGATAAGATATTTTGATAAGATAGCATAAGATAGCATAAGAATGAATTAATGAATATTTATAAGGAAAAAATATTTTCCAACCTACTAAAGAACTATTTAATGAATAGCCTGTAACACATATTGTACTTAACATACATGTAAATGAATAAATTATACTAATCAAGTAGCATTACATGTAACTCAAAACGAGACTCCTAGCCCACCCACAGTCAAACTGTTAATATAGTTTTGTGGAACCAAAGATTATTTAAATTTTGTAATGGAAAGAATTAAAGAAAATTATTAATTAATTAAGAAGCTATACAACATTGAATATGGCTGGTCTTACAGCCAAAATATAAATAAATAAAAGTTCGAATATAAGTCTATCGATGTAAGCGTTAAGGTCGATATTGTACTTACCACCGTGTGCTGAAGATAGCGCTACCTGATCGAGCACGTCCCACGACTTTTGTCGTCTGGAGCAGACTGAGTTAGCTGACGGTGGAGGTTGGATCAGCATCGAAGACTTTAAAAATACAATTACTTAAGTTTAGAATCGTAGTTATTATATGTAGATAGAGAAAGGAATGAATAGGAATGTAAACAGAAACTTTATTCGCTTAGAAACAGAGAGAGAAAGAAAAGATCGTGATAGCATATATATCTCATTTTAGTAAAGGACAGCTGCAAACTAACTGTCGAATGGTTCTGCACCCTTACCGTGCTAAATAAATATGTATATATCGCTCGCTGAATAGTACAGTGACACAACTCAAAAGCAATAATTTCGAGAAACGCTCTCCGAAGTTATGAAAATTTAATATATTTATAATTTTGAAAATCAACATTTTTAGCATAACAGTTAAATCGTTTGTATTATATTATTACTGTTAAGTTTTTTATTTTTTCTAACATTATCTATGGGATGCCACCGCAATGTTGTGGCGTTTTCTCGAAATAATGGTTTATGAGTTGTGCCACTGTACTATTCAGTGAGCGATATGTAATGTATGGTAATCATTTTTCTCTTTCTAACTAAGAGACAGCTGTAGTCGGGTTTTACTATTGTATGTATATATACCTAAATGTCTAGGTCGTGTCACGTCAAATGATTGAGACTGACAACGAAAAACACAGTAACACAGCAGCAGACCAATACTGCTGTTTGCGTTATAAAAGAAACTCACCTACTTGCATTTTCCCATCGTTCTATCTACCTGAAGTCGAATATTATTAGTGCAATGTCTTCCTCACACATCAATGGTGACAGATATATGACAATATTGGACTTCAGGTAGATAGTACAGTGGCAAAATTCTATTGAGATGCGATTATAACGTAAACATTAGCAGACTAGGCATAAAGAGTGGGTAAAAAAAAAAAGAAAAAACATATTAGATAAAAAACATATCTTTTTACTTCAATTTAACAAAAAATAGCTTAGATAACAGGAGTGGAGGCTCGCTACGTCACAGTTTAGTAGCAAAATGTACAAACGTGTGACGTCATGTGCCATTTTAACTCAATAAATTGCCGTAATTGAATGATTATGCAAAAAAAAATACGTGTTTAATATTTTTCAACAATTTACCTGAGGGATAAACAAAAAAAAATGTCGTCATCCCTATTGGCCTGCAAGCTACCACAAAATAGCAAATTTTCGCAATCTATTTTGAACTCCATTAGTATAGTGTTAAGGTTTCAAGAGTTAATCAATTGACATGACATACTGTTGGCTGCTTAGTATGAAGAAATGCTACATTTTTTATATAATATAAGAAATATTTATATAAAATAAGAATTACATAGACTAACCTGATGGTAATCAGACGTAGGACAATAATGGTCACAGTTGTCCGGCAGCCATTTTGGTAGCGAATGCTTCACGTGACATCGGGATCGCACCTCCTCGCTCACACACACCAAGGCTGCAAGAGACGAATATATAAATTAAAAAAGATCTGTCGTTGATTATATAGCGTCTTCAGTTAAAGTCCTGTATTCTTTTCTTTTTTAATAAAATTGTATTTGGTAGCTAAAATTATGTTGTAAAAGTTCCTTGTTTTGTAAGTAAATGTAATTCAATCAACTTTATACATCCTATTAATATTATAAATGTGAAAGTTTCTTTGTTTGGATGTTTAGATGTTTGGATGTTTGTACGTCAATCACGCCGAAACTACTGAACGGATTTTGATGAAATTTGGTATACAGATAGGGTGTTAGCTAACTTAGATAATAGGATACTTTTTATTCTACTAAACATTTCCCTAGGGTCCACGCGGGCGAAAGCTAGTATAATAATAAATTAAAAGATATTTTTAATACTTAAAACTTCCTTTTTTCGCTACGGTGCGCGCTTCGATCGATTCATGGTTTTCCCACCATCTACTTCGCACCCAGAGTATAGTCTATTCTTAACGCTGGCGAAAAACGGACAATGAAGTGTATAATGTGAGCGTTGAAAGACGATACGTATCGTTATCTAAGTAATATAATCGCCAATCTTTGTGCGTTATATAACTTGCTCTTTCTCTTTAAAAGTAGTTTATAGATTATGCAGCACAGTTCTGTATGTATATGTTTTATATATAAATATGTTTTTTGTTTATTCTATGGAATATTGTCCAAAATTATGTATTTTATATTATGTAGCAGAATATCAGCGCTATTGTGAGCAGTACCAAATAGCCCTTACCATAACGGCATAAGCTAAGGCACGGAACTGATTGACCCTATTACATATATGTAGGTTCCTTACCCATCTTATTACTGTCTATGTTTTTCTTTGTATAATTTTTTTTTTTTTTTTTTTTATTTATTTATTTTATTTCACTTCTTCCACAAAATACACAAAATTAATATACGTTCACAGATTTTTCTAATTTGTTTTAACAATATGTTTGTGGGAGACTGCTACCCAAGCTAAGCATTTTAACTGCCTGTAATTCAGGCCAGCAGGCTCACCACCTCTTAAAATACAGTTTTACTTCACCATTATCAAAATCCTCGAACGCACAAAACATTACGTCTTAATTAACTTAAAGAAAAACAAACTTATAATACAAAGCGTGCACCATATCAACAGCAGGATCATTTACATGTGTCACAAAAACATTCAATATAAACCCAAACATAAATAAATAACATAATATGTCATATACAAACTACATACCATTTCATTTAATAAAGTATCATCAAAAATTTACAAGCATCACCCTAGTACCAAAACCTTTCGTAGTATAGGATTGTCGTTTTTATTTAAGATATTATGTTAAAAAGTTCTTCTGTATCTTCATATGACAAGGTTAAGAGCCATTTTTTTAGTGTTACCTTACAAGAATATGTATTTAGACTATATATACTAAGAACTTTATTAACTGCATTGTACAAATGTGGTCCCAGAAATGCAAATGACCTCTGTGCAAAAGCAGTAAATAATATACATCTACTCTATATTTTTACATTAACAACTTTGTTATATTGTTGATCTATGTACTCAACAAGTCCACTAACCCCCGGTTTCAATAATATACCGACAACCATCGGTAGCAGCTACCGACCGTTTTTTGAGCTACCGACAACCATTCGTTTTTGCGTTTCACAATCATCGGTAGACGCCTACCAACTACGAACGGTTGTCGGTAGCTCATTTTTTTTAATTGAAATCATATAATTCGAGGAAAAGGGTTCTTTCCATACAGCCTTGTCTTAGGTAATATTATGATTATACTGAAATGTTGGTCTTTAACATTTAATAATTTCTTGGACAAAATCGAAATCGTAAGAAGGAAGACAGAAACATCAATAGGAAAGAGGTGAACTGATTACGTACCGAAACTAAATTTGAAATTTGTTTTGGAATTATTATGACTTATTTCTTATATGGTTAGGTTCTTAAAAGTGGTGTTATTGTGAAACAAAGTATCGTCTGAAATGGAATTCTGATGTAAACAAAGAGTTAACATTATAACAAATAGCTTAAATTTACCTCTTTAAAAGTTTTTAGTAATTTTTTTACTTGAACTAAAAATCCTTTTTTTTTAGATAAAAATAGGATAGAAATATTTTATTCTGCAGGCAAGAAACAGCGATTCGGAACATTTGGGTCATTGAATTAAAACTTTTTTTTTATTTAGTATGATTTATCGTAAAGATATTTATAAATAACACGTTTACCCTTGTTAATTAAAAGAAAAGTAACAGTTTTTCTTTTAAAAAATAATATTGTAGAAGAGCTTAATGTGTTTTGAAGTTCAGATTAGAAGAATTTAAGTTGTTATCATGTCAATGTTTGTACCTTAAAGGGCTCTTACTACCAATTAATTATTGGTCCAGATGCTTTCTACAATAACATAATGATTTACCTTTTGAAAAACATAATGATTTACCTCTTTATAATTATGAAAAACCTGGTTCTGATGAAACTGAATTTGCCACCTACTGTACAAGTATTTTATTCGATATTGATTTACAATTTAAAGTACTTAAAATTGAAAAAGTAATGAAATTCTTATAGGCTAATGTCAACAAATCTTACATTTTTATCCCCACATTGTTATACAAAATTAGTTACACTTGAATGAGAAACCTTCTCTTTCATTGAAGTCGATAAAAAATGGGGGAGGCCTATGTCCAGCAGTGGACGAATATGGGCTGATGATGATGATGATAAAAAATAAGACTATTTGCAAAAATAAAATTATAATTAGAACCTTTTGTAAAATGTTTGCAACCCCTAAAATAACATCATTTGTTTATATAAGTTTTTTTTTTATCTCGAATTAAATTTCGGAATATAAATAAACGTGTGCAATATACACAGTTCATTGAAATGGTACGGTGCATGGTTATGAGCAGTGTTTTGTCAATTTAGTAGGTACAAGAACGCGAACGTGTTACTTTAACATACCTCACCATTTTCTAATATATTTCAATTTTTGCTCCAAAAAAAGCATTTAAAACATCCAAGTGAACCTCAATATGAATATTGTCACTCCAGACTAGGTTGTATGTGCTATATCCCTTTGCCTTTAATTATGCCAAAAAGTAAAGTTGATTTATGTTCCGTAGAAGCTTAGCGGGAATTTTATATAGAGTTCACCTTTATTATAAATTGTATAAAGTGATTTGTACTATACTTATTGAATTTGCAAGATAACATTAATGAATTTGACAGTGAACAATTGTGATCCATTGACATAGGATGATAAATGAATGGTTATTAGAAAAAGTGGAATGATTGTGTCAAATCGTACAACAAACGTAGAAAAATGCAATGGAATAATGTAAAAATTTATGTAGTTTTTTATGAATTGTTTTTTATTTGTAAAATAAATAAGTTATATCCAAATTGGGTTTTATTAAGAATTAAATCAATATCAGTGTTTAATAAAAAATAAAGGGTATAACTTAATGTAACGTGTATCAGTTTGGTACAAGTAGGTGGCAAATTAAGTTTCATCAGAACAAGGTTTTTCATAATTATATAGAGGTAAATCATCAAGTTTTTCAACAGAAACATATTGTAGAAAGCATCTGGAGCAATGATTAATTGGTAGTATGAGCCCTTAAAGGAACAAACATTGGCATGATTACAACTTAAATTCTTCTAATTGGAACTACAAAACACATCAAACTCTTCTACAATATTATTTTTTTAATGAAAAATTGTTATTTTTCTATTAGTTAACAAGGAAAAACATATGGAAAAGTATATAACATTTTCCATTTAATAATATTTTAATAATATTTTAATAAATAAAACACGTTTTAGTAATCTGACAGCATCGTATGACAGTCCATATTTTTATTCGTCTAAATTTTCATTTTTACATTCATAAAAACAAAGAGGTCGGTTGATAAGAATGACATTATACAACCGCCACATTACCCCCCTACGGAGAAAAGGAAACCAAACAAAAATAAAATAAAATATTCTAAGAATTAAGAAAACGAACGCGTCTACCGTATCTTGTTACATAACCTGAGGTTGAGTCAGAAGGTAGATTCTTATTTGCCTTTGAAGGATCCGCAAGAGCAAGTGGAGCATGTGTTTCAGTGCAAGGAAAACTTTCCAAATGAGCAGGCTTAACACGATCCAATGATACCTGAATTTGTTTACCATTTACATCAAGTGACGCAGTTTTTTCTTTAAGAGCGATGATGCGGTAAGGTCCAGTATAAGGTGGTACCAGTGAGCGTCGAATAGTATCATCACGCAAAAACACGTGAGTAGCGTTTTTTAGATCTTTGAACATAAATGGAACTTGTGTAACATGACGAGATGCTGGAATAGGACGAAGTTTGATAATTTTATTTCGTAGCTGAACCACACAATCAGTCAAATCAACATTAATATCAAATGAACCCGACCAAAATTCTCCAGGCAATCGAAGAGGTTCACCGTAGAGAAGCTCTGCGGAAGACATTTTCAAATCTTCCTTGAGAGATGTCCGCATACCAAGCAATACCAACGGGAGAGCTCTAAGCCATGAATCACTATGACACATCAAAGCAGCCTTAAGTTGTCGGTGAACTCTCTCAATCATTCCGTTGGCAGAAGGATGATAGCTGGTAGTTCTAATGCGCTTGGAACCGCAGAACACTAGAAGTCGATGAAACAAATCGGACTCGAATTGGCGGTCTTGGTCTGTTGTTATAATCGAGGGTACACCAAATCGAGAAATCCAGCCAAATACAAAAGTTTCTGCAACTTCTAAAGCACTTATACCAGACATGGGCCACACTTCTGCCCATCGCGTGAAACGATCGACTGCAGTGAGGCAATACTGGTAATGACCGACTATTGGAAGTGGACCTATAATATCTAAATGAATGTGTTTAAACCTAGCCGAAGGGCTAGAAAAAATACCAATTGGTGTAGCAGTATGTCTAGTAACTTTGCTGCGTTGACAACGAATACAAG